GCTTAGAGAAGTTAATCAGCCACCTTTAAACTGTATAAGGTTCCTATTTGTACTATAATTGCAGAAATGAGAATTTTTTTAACATTTATTCATGTAAATCTGATAGTAATTTTCTATTTGTACTATAATTGCAGAAATGAGAATTTTTTTAACATTTATTCATGTAAATCTGATAGTAATTTTGGCATAGATTGGCATAGATTTTATAAGGTACATTTATTCATGTAAATCTGATAGTAATTTTGGCATAGATTGGCATAGATTTTATAAGGTATCAAGTGAGGTTAGTGTTCCTTCCCAATTGCAAAAGTTTCAGTTATGTCAGTTTAAATTACTATCTTTAAGCTCGAATATTGATTCTTCTTATTGACATTAATTAAGCAATATATGGTTGGATAGAGACAGTGGCCATAGCCTATATATGCAGTGTGGTTTTATTGCTTCATAAGTTTTGCATGAACTGTTTGAGATGTAGAAATTTGATTGCTCTTTTGGCTCTATGGATCCATATGTAACAGGTTTAATGATTTGAGGGACTAATTTCATGATTCACGAATCATGTAAAGAAGCACAATGATATAACTTTGAAAGTTCTGTTCTAGGATGCAAATAATGTGATAATAACCATCAGATATTATATTCCATGTACGACTACTTATCGATATTTGTTTCGAGACATTAGTATAGCATTCGATTTTGGTCATCATGCTGAAGTTTATGTTGTTCTTTCACTTCTAATGCTAGGAGTGCTGAAAAATATTGCCGGTAATTTTTTTCCCCTTCATTTACTTTAGTTATATTCTATTTTCAATGTTTTTCTAATGTATATCCATCAGCTATGCTGATCCTTAAGAGGAAGGCGCATCAGATCATATTTTCAATGTTTTTCTAATGTATATCCATCAGCTATGCTGATCCTTAAGAGGAAGGCGCATCAGATCAAGAGTTGTTCGTTTCAAAAGACTTTGGAGTCACCTATTAATGTCCTTTCAATAACTCCAATATAGCTTGTGGAAAGGTTCTACGTTCAGACAATAAAGTAGCCTTTAATTGTTAAAAAAAGTACATGAGATAGGTAAAATCTAACCATATTAAAGGTGAGGGCATTAAATTATGGTTGCAATTATATAACCTCAACAAAGGTGAATTCTTATTGTATTACTTCTACAAGACAGTGTTTGTAAAGAACAGAAGAGCATGTCAGGTCTTTTATCCAATATATGCATCTTTTGATAGAATAAGCTATAATATAGGTATCAACCTTATAGACATTGTTTCAAAGGTATCTTTGTTAGTGGGATGACTAGATGTGCCCTTAAACTTATCATGGACTTGTTGATGCTTGCATCATATTTGGCTCATTTAAAAGACTACCATTCTACCAATACTTCATGTTCTTGATTTCCCTCCCACAATTTACAGTGAGTAAATTGTCCAAATCTTACAACTAATAATAATTTGTATTCAAGTCTAATTTATTTAGGATTCTGAGAGCAAACATCTAATTGAACACTTCGCCGAAGTTTTACTACTGTACAGTTGCACTAGAGTAATGTGAAGTTTAGCATTGATATCAATTAGGAAAACAAGTAAATACTCAACATATATGCCTGAACAAATTGAATTTAACGTCTTAGCAATTCTTCGGATTGAAGAAAATTATAATTTACTTACAAAGACAAATTAACTTTCTGGATGACAAATGAACAGGAAAGCACCAATATGATCAACCCTGCTTCAAGCAGTAGATAACTGGGACATGTACTCCATTTTTATCTTTTGCATCCTGGGGTGGGGACGACATCAATCATCGATATTCTTTCTTTTGGTGAGTAGTTTGTACATAGTAAACCCAATCTTATGACAGATAATACACAATGATGCATAGTTGTTTGGTCTGCAGAATTTCGTTCAAGGAGGGAGACACCTTTGAAGAGATTGTTGTCTATAATATCAAAAATTGAAGTAGGATATGCTTTGCAAATGCACTCTCTCAAACTTGGTTCTCCCTCAGATACGACATCTGTTGGCCTTTTCCCGGTGAATGTCTCCAACAACAGAATGCCAAAGCTGTAGACATCGCCCATTTTTGAGACATTGCCTGTAGATCCATACTCTTATTATTTTGTCATTTATCTTAGGATGCACACTTATAGTTGTGACTTCTGGAGTGATTGATGCTATCTTTATTCGACTGATTTTATCAATTTTAAAATTGATCCCTAAATTTTGAGTACTATGGCTGGGATTTGCTACTTCGATGAAAGGAAAGTAGACATGCCTATAATTACATGGCTATATATGTAGGTGAGTTTATGCATGAAAATTTGTACTTCTTACTATATCCGTAGGTATCTTTAGCTTTGATAGGTACCACATGTACTGATTACTGCAACAAAATTGTCACCCTTTTCTTCTCTCCATTTGCCCCCGAATTATGAGAGAAATTAATTTGAGCAGTTTATTCATTGTAGCCATCCAGGCATGTAACTGCTCCCCCCGAATTATGAGAGAAATTAATTTGAGCAGTTTATTCATTGTAGCCATCCAGGCATGTAACTGCTCGCGCTAGGGCCAAGCATTTGGTCAGGTTGAAACCTGAATAAGCATAAATTTTTAACAGTTGCTAAAGCATAAAAGACATCTATTTCTAAAACTACTAGATTCAACATACGTCAGATGGTTACGAGATTAATCGTGTTTAATAATTGCTTGTAGAATTCTATAGATCTGAATTAGTACTTCTATTGTTTATACTAGCAATGAATGTGAATCATGACAGTACGTATAAAATCTGTCACATTTGGAATGTATGGCAAAGTGTTTGAAGTTAAAAAGTGAAATCTTCCCTAGTTTATGGAAATATACCCAATTTGCAAAGTGGGCTGGCATTCAAGAGGATGGAAGAACTCTTCCCCTTGTGGTTGGCTCGGCTGCCGGCTGTATCCCATTGCATTAGCATTGGCCTCCCAGACTTGTTGCTGATTAGCCTGGCTTGTTTCTTCCAACGGGTGGGCTGTGGAATTTCAAGTTGATAATGTATGCTGACTACATACTTTTGATAGTTTATTGCTTGCTTGTACCTTTTTTAAACAAGATATTACTTGTTTGTACTTGCTATATTCATTTTTTTATAAGTTTTATATACTAGCACCTCCATCAGAATACAGAAAGTATACAATCCTGTACTTGTTTTCTTTTTTTTGTTTTAAAGTTTGATTTTTGTGTCATGGACTAATTGATGCTAAATTGTGTAATGTAGGACTCAAATTCTTCGAGACATGAAGTTGGGCGCATTGGAGAGAAAAGAGGAGAAGACTTGAAGGATAAATAGAGGATTCTAGATATGTTTTCTTTTAATAGTTTATGTTGTCGTAATTTGGCTTGTTGTAGCAAATCATGGTTACTTCTTATAGCAAATCATGGTTATCAACTACCTATGGTATGTTGTGTTTTAAATGAAGGATTATTGTGGAGTGTAGAGCTTCTTATGAGGAGTGTTTGCTAAACTCTTTTGACTCGTCGAGTCTTTTATCATGGCTAGTTATTGGAGTAGTACTCTTGTTCTTTGGAGATTGAAGGTTGATGTAGTATTGGATGAAACCATGAAAAAATGGCGTAATAATAAATATTTTGGACATTATTATTATTTTTTGTATTCTCTCATACCGATTCATGAAGGACAAGATGTTTGCATGTGTATTTATAATTGCTAATAAAGAGATCAAACTTCTGAGGGGGTCGTGAAATTTACCCTAACTTTTTCCTCAATATAAACCATAATGTCCGCATTTGATTTAATTATTAAGGAGTTAAGAGAGAGCATAAAATTTTTTAAAACACCAATTTCAAATCCAAATTCATGTATAATAAAGTGCATCCAAACATCAGATTTTAAATCTGTGATTTCAAATCCTTGCATTTAGTGATGACATCCAAACAAAAGATTTTATCAAATCATGGATTTCAAATTCTAGATTTGAAATCCCATGATTTTAAATCAACCTTTCAAATCCAAATCCAAGTTCCCAAACGCAGCCTAGAACAATTTTCTCACATCAAAGTTCAGTGATAAAACTATTTCATTACAAGGAGGAAATTAGAGGGCTAAACCACATTCTAATATGACAAAATTTAAATTGTAGAAACCTCGAGCCCGCCCTTCACCAGATCTGCTTGGGCTTAACATCAAACTCATCCAACGGTCCCCGTTGCTCCACGCTCTCTCATCGCCGCCGCTCCCAACTACAATTACTCGTAGCCGTAGCCACTACAATTAGCCGTAGCCGTAGCCGTATCCCCCCAAGCCATGGCTTCGAACAAAAGGAAGGGGTCAGCATCCTTGATTTCTTCAAAATCAAAGTCTTCCTCTAAAGCAAGAATCCTCTTCCATCGTAAGTAAATTTTGATGAAGATTTTTTTTTTCATTTTAGGAATTGTTTAACTCTTTTACAGGTACAAAATAATGTTTAAGATATTCTTAATTTGCACTTAATGATGTCTGTATGCATACTTACTACCTACTACTTTGTACTTTTAACTTTCGTAATGTAAAATTTATGGTGATTATTATCATGTCGAGTATTTATTTTACATATAATGTTAGGGTTTATATGTGTGTTTTACGGCATGTAATATATACTTAGCTATTCTTAATTTGTCCAAGTATATTTAATTTTTAACCTTCTAAATTATAATTATCTTGTAGGGCTATGATAACACAATTAAGAATTCCATCCAATATTTGTTATTTTCGAGATTTAATTGATAAGCGTATAGTATTGAATGAAAGGCATATGAAAGCCCTTGAGATGACACATTTTCACAACTTTCTCCGGATACCCGCATCATTGAACAATGAGCAAATAGCAATTGAATGCTTGATTCAAAATTTTAATCCTAATAAATGCTCATTTTTAATTGGAAATGAAGATTGTGTATTTGGTATAGAGGATATTCACCGAATTACCGGTTTGCCAAATGAGGGAATTCCAATAAAAATGAGTGGAACAGCGGGTAATATAATCTACACCCAAATTGTAAAGAATTATAAGACACTCCAGGAGAAGAAGGATGGTAGGAGTAAAGGCAAGAAGAAAGTCGATGAGAAAAAGAAGGCAGTGATTTGGGTGAAGCGCAATAGAATGGCTGAGATGATTGTAGATATTGTTAGACCCTAGAGGGGGGGTGATTAGGGTCTTATGCTAATCTAATCCGATTAAATGCCAATTAAAACTAATTCACAAGTTATCCTAGCAAGTATGAAATACAACAAGAATATAAGCTAGGATAAGCAATATGAATAATGAAATATATCCTATATGATGAACTATATATGCAAGGATATATAAACAATAAGATATATCCTAACAAAGAGATATAGACAATGTATGAGCAAGGATATATGAACTAACACAAGGGTAAAATAAACAATCTACACAAGTGATAGGGTAATATGATGAGCAATACACAAAGGCGATATAAGATATGAAAACGAGAATAAGAACGCCAATGCAATCACAAACAAAACGATATGTTTACGAGGTTCGGTCCCCACGACCTACGTCCCCGCTCCTCACCTCGAGGAGATCTCCACTATCACAACCGGGTTTTCTACGTTCACCCGAACAACGTTTACACCTCACAATACAATCACTATGTAATCACACCTCACACACTAAGTGTTGGTCCTAGCCCGTGTCCTCCTCCTCAAGTGCTCGGTTACAACCTCTCCCTAGGCACGTCAACCGACGCCACTCCTCTTGGATTCGACCCCGTCTCTCACCACACACTTCTCTCGGTGTACAAGTGTATTACAAGTGAATCCTCACAATAAGCACAATATAAATCAAATGATTTGTTCTCTAAACAAGGTGAGAACTCAATTAAGCACAACTCTAAGTCACTAATCTCACAACCCAAAATTATACTATGAATGTAAATACAATAAGCTCAATAGGTTGTGTGTGAACAAAGAGATAATAAAATCAACTAAACTCAATATGAACACTAGCTTAATAAAAAGATAATCAAACAATATAAAATATGAAGCTAGATTGAGTTTAGAAAACTTCTCAATAGATCAAGAGTGGAAGGAGAAGAGTTGGATGCTCAAACACCAATAGATGATCTCCTCAAGCTCTTGTGGAAGTGATTCACAAAACCAAAACACTCAAATGCTTAAAAGCTTATAAACACACTTAAACCAAACATAAACCCTTGATTAAAACTCTCTTAAACTTGTTTTTAAACTCTCTTGGCTCACTTGAAAAGACATCAGCAATGGGGTATATATACCCACTAGAAATCTCAGCAAAAACCCCCAAAACAAAATGACCAAAAACCCCAGCAAACAGCTCAGAGAAAGAGCCGTTAAAAAGCAACGGCTATATTGTCGGTCGACCGAAAATTCCGTCGGTCGACCGATGGAAAAATTCGGTCGACCGATGGAAAGTTCGGTCGACCGTTATCCAGGTCGAAAACAGGAAATCAAGCAAACACTTATCCGGTCGACCGGTGCGGTCGACCGATGGAGCTTTCGATCGACCGGACCGGTCGACCGACCAACTCTCTGCTGCATGGTGACGAAAGAACAAATGAGCGGTCGACCGGATCGGTCGACCGAAAACTGATATATATAAGAACTGATTTGCTGATTTTAAAACCCTGTTTAAAAATATCAAATAAATTCAGAAAAATGTAAAACTTTGGGGAATGATTGTAGACATGATAATAAACATGCTACAACGACTGGTTTCGAAAAAGGACTTCCCAAATGAAAAATATCATCATTTTACAAAATAGTCCAAAACATGAAAACCTGAAAATTGATATTTTGATATTTTGACTTAAACAACATTTTGAAACCTTATGAAATGATTGTATAGACTTGATAAAAGATATAACATGTTGTTATGAAGTCTATAATCTAGAAATACAATATTTTCATAAATTTGCATATTCTATGCAATATATTCAAAACACTAAATATGATTTCATTAAATATAAGCTTGTTAAAGGTGAAATCATATATAGGCATATAAACATGAAACAAAATAGTATTTTCCAATTCTATTCATTTGTTTCATAGTAAAACTTGAAAACTATCAAACCAAAACATATATGTATATATATAACTATATATATACAAAAACCAAAACGTGTATGTGTGTATATGATTGAGCTTAAAGTACTAACACACATAATATAAATTCCTAAACTAAATTACCCAAGCAATGATCTTGATCTTCAATAAGCTTGACTTGGTAATCTCGCGGATGAAGCTTGAACTTGGATCTTGAACTTTGAATAGCAAGGCTTCACCGACATTCCGCCAACCTCCTTTGGATATGATCGTTGAAGCTCTATTCCATCCATCCTCCAACAACGTTGTTTGTCTACAAAACATAGGAATGCACAAACACTAGACAAACAACATTAGTAATAAATTGTTTGTTAAACATCATCAAAACAAGAAGGCCAACAATCTCCCCCTTTTTGATGATGACAAACAATTTACAAAAAGGAATATATGCATGAAGGAAATGAACATATACAAGATAATAACTCACATGCATATAAACAAACAAGATAGATATACTCACAATATTTCTCCCCCTTTGACAACATCAAAAAGGGGACAAAAGAATTAAGAGAGCGAAAGCTCCCCCTACAAATAAGCATGGGTGAGTATGAAGCAAGTATAGGGATTGCTCCCCCTATCAAAATGCCATATGGAATATATGAAATGAATATCATGGCAAACATATGTGAGCATGCATAAATAATATGCCAAAAATCACTCACATTCAAGAGATAATGAGAACATATATAAATATATCAAGATGAACATATTGTCTCATATCAAAAAAGCCAATGTATAAAATAGATTTATGAAATCAAAAGAAGAGAAACATGAGAATCATGTAAAAAGTTTTCAAATAAAAA